AATGTCTACTGATAAAAACCAAATGGAAAAAAATGCCTTCGGATATGAAAATGTACTCTTCTGGTAATAAAATGTATGTTATTTACATAAGAATATGGGAATAGAATTCTATGATCAACTCTAAGTATGCATAAATAACAGAGGTTATTATTTATTAGAGAAAAGTATATATAAGATAGAGAGAGAGATATATAATTAAATGGAGAGAACTTAAGGAAAAGTTGAAGGGGGAGGAACCGGTTATCACTGGGTGCTCTGAACTTTGACCTTTTCCATGGTTGGCTTGGTTAATACCTATGATTAGATCTGAATATGTACTGACAAGACACTCTTAGACACACATACACAGAAGAATAAAGGTTCCAAGAAGACAGAAAAACAGTTTAATACATTCAATGAATTAAGCACTCACTTTATACAGCACAAATTTCTATGGATTTGAATATATAATTATAAAACCATTACTAGCAGACAAACCTATAAGGTTAGGGAAACTGCTTGGATTTTCTAGTTAACTTTTAAGACAAACTTTTATTTTAAGAGTTTCAAAGTCTTGCAACAAATGATTTAGATTTGTCATGAGTGAGAATGGATATGGCAGTCATTGTAACCACCATTGCAGGCAACTACAGGAAAAGTGGTTTCCCTTGGCACTCACACATTTAAAAAAAAAAAAAAATTTGTCCATGACCTGAAACATTGTCCGTCATTGCATTTCAGTGATAGTGGTGGTGGGGAAAAAAAAAAAAAGGACCTACCTGGCAGCACCCGTCTCCTCCCTAAGTAGGATGCAACATGTAGTACTGAATTACATAGTATCAGTAATAAAGAAGAAGGCTTAACTTAACTGAGGTACGCATAGTCATGGAAGAGTGGATTACACATGTATTTACCCACCCACATTGCTACCAAGTGTGACACAAAGTCGAGGTTTAAAGTGGCCTTACTGACAATACCGTAGCAAAATTGCTCAAGTACCCTTGTTACTTCCCCTTTTGGGGATGCCTCCAGTGCCAGGCAATAAACCCAGCCCTAGAGGAGAGGTACTGCTGTGGTTTCCATAGCAACTAGTAGGTTTTTATGAAATTGGTAGCCTCAAGTCCAACCGGTTTTGAATTCAGAGTTGTCTTCTCCTAGACTGGCTACCAACCATGGTTAAAGATCCTATTCTTTCCCAAAGGTATTCATGCATAAGTGAATGCAATGAACTCAACTAGAATTTAAACTATTTATATTCAGCACCTCAACTGCAGAGTTTTTTGGTATTTGCTATATAAACTCATTGGTTACTTTATTAGGCTTACTCTGCTAATTTTGGATTAGGCTCCTTTTACCTTTAGAACTAACTCAATTCTACTTGGCAGAGATTTGACAATATCATGTGAGCACTGTTTTGGATCCATGTGCTATTATGACATCCCACAATTCTTCTAGATTAGTTGACTGCAATTTGTATTTCCTTTTCTACCACATTTCAAAGGTGCTCTATGGGATTGAGATCCAGTGACTATGGAGGCTATTTTAATACATAAAGCTCTTTACTGTGTTCCATTAACCAATCTGACACTATTTTATGACTTGCGATACAGTGCATTGTCCTGCTGGAAGTGACCAGCAAAGGTTTGGTTTGTTTCAACAGGTTATTTAATGCTGACAAGATTTTTATTGCTGGTAATATTTTTTTTTCAAAAATGTATTGCTTGTAATATTTTTTTCTATAGCAAGTAGTAAGTTTTTATGAAGTTGATAGTCTCAAGCCTAACCAGTTTTGAATTCACAGTTGTCCTCCTAGACTGGTTACCAACCATGGCTAAAGATCCCATTCTATTACTATTTAATGTATAGCTGGATCCACACTTTTCCCAAGGGTATTTGTGCATAAGCAAATACAATGAACTCAACTAGAATTTAAACTATTTATATATATTTTTTTTAAAATGTATTGCTAGTAATTTTCTTTTTCAAAAATGTATTGCTGGTATTAAAACCTATTTTTATACTTTCATAGTGTTTTGACCCAATTTGGGAGGTTGACTATTTGCCCATAGCTGGGACCTTGACTGATGCTACCACCCTGGTCAAGGTGGACCTGGAAACACCAGCAATTAAGAGGTGGTTCCACGCTCCTCAAAACCTTCTGATTAAAGGCCTTGCTGTCAGATGTAGTTTATCGTCTTACCCAGAATGGACAAAAGGGTGAGTGCACCATAGTCATAAACTGAACCATGTGGTCAGTCACAATACCTTGGTAGGCAATGACATTTAAATGATCTTTTATTGGTGCCAAGAGCCTCAAACATGTCAAGAAAATATTCCTCATACCATTAGACCACCACCAACAAAGATCCTGATACAAGACAAGATAAATACACACTTTCATGTTGTTTACATCCAATTTTAGCTGTACCATTCAAATATTGTCCAATGAGTCATGGTTTCTAATTCACTATGTTTTTCTAATCTCCTAATGTCTAATGTTTGTGATCCTTAATCTGACAAGAGTGGCACATGGCTTGGGCTTTTGTTGCTGTAGCTCATCTGCTTCAAGGTTCAAAATGCATTTAGAGATGCTCTTTTGTATACCTCTGTTGTAAACAATGGTTATTTGAGCTACTGTTGCCTTTCTGCTAACTTGAACTAATCTGGCCACTGACCTCTGACCTCTTTTCATCATCAAAGAATTCCTGCCCACAGTTGCTACTCACTGGATTTTTTTCTGGCCATTCTGAGAGATGGCTGTGTGCGAGAATCTTAGGAGATCAGCAGTTTTTGAAATACTCAGACCCACATGTCTATCAATAATGACCATGCCATGTTCAACATTCCATAAATTGCCCCTTTTTTCCCCTTACTAATACATGAAATTCAGCAGGTCGCCATGATCATGTTTCAATAGTTATATCTGTTAAATTATTGCCATATCACTAGCTGATGAAAAATTTGCATAAAAAATTATTTGTTCATGTGTACTTAAGTGGCCATTGAGCATATATACATATATATATATATATTTCAAGACATTTTTATGTTTAGACATTCTTTTTATAGATACAAATATTTAAGTAAATGCTCTGTTTTATAATAAACAGTATTAATAACATTTACCAGCCTGAATGTCTGAGAAATTTTCATAGAAAATGCTTGTCCTGATATATATATATATATATATATATATTTGTGTATTTAGGCAGCAATCCTTCTTTCATGCACATTTCATTGAAAATGACAGACAAGGTGCTTTTATTTAGTTTTTTATACAATTTCTCATGCGATCTAATAATTTTTTTCTTTTCCGATGATAAATTATATAAAAACTGTCTGAATTTTCTTTTTATCCGAGCGCTTTTGGCTATACATTTAGCCATTTTCAAGGATTAAATATTTTAACTGTTAAAATAAGAAACAGTTTATTGTACGAATGTTTTATAAAATGTTTTCATTTTTTCAAAACTCGGTCAAGATATTATGTCCATGTTGAAAGTTAATATTATTAAGTGTTGGTTTGTTTGTTTTTATTAATAAAGCTTCCATTATTTTTAGCCTATTTTTGCATGTAGATGATGCTATTATATTAGTGTTGTCAACAAGTATGTTATGAATAGTGTCTGGTAGGTCTCCATGAATATTTAAATGAGATCTAATTGAGCTATTGTCAGAAAGGTGTAGAGTGAGTCTGCATGTCAAACATATTGTAGTATGGCCTATATAATTATTTACAAATTTTTCATTGATCAGGAATACAATTCCTTAATGGGCATTTAAATTCATAAATAATATTTGCCCTATTTAATTTTGGTTTGTTATTATTTTTAACTATAAGGTTTGAGGTTTTAAATTTTTTGTAATAAATAATTAATTGAATTTTTTTGCTATTGTCAACTGGTGTTATGCATTTTTTTATAATGTTCTTAATACTGCATTCATCCTGTTTATAATTTTCGTTCATCTGATTTTTATAAAAAATATTAATGTTATTGTTTATATTTCTCTCTCTCTCTCTATATATATATATATTGTAGAATGAGTGGCCATGGTTAAATGTAAATAATTGGCAGAACTGTACAACAAAAAATTAACAAAGTTTGCAATAAACAATTACAATAACAAAAATTAAAAAAGAAAAAACAGGGCAAAAGATAATATAAAGCAAGTAAACAATATATGCAAGGCAAATTAACATTAATAAGGCAAAGCAATAAGTAATATGACAAAATGTTCACAAACTAAGAATTGGGGTTGACACACAAATGCAAATTCAAACAAGTGAACATAATATTCTGACTTTAAGGCAAGACAAAACTGGGACTGAGTCAGATGATAATGAAATCCCAGCAAGAATTTGTGTGCTTTTGCCAATAAACTGGGGAATGGAAAGTGTTTTGCAGTCATTCCTTGTAGTGTTGGAACCAACATGTACATTTATATATTTATTGATATTTACTGTATATATGTAGGTTTATATATTTACTAATAGTTACTTTATTATAAAATCAACACTTTCTTATACATTTACCCATAAATTTATGCTTCTTTGTTTATCAATCTAGAGTTTCTCATTTATTGCCCGTCATCATCTTATTTTGAAATTAATTTTTTGAGAGAAAAAAAATCAAAAATTAAAAAAAGAAATCACTAAACCTGATTTCCCAAAAGGTAAGTGTGAACCATATATTGAAATATTGGCATTGTACAATTATCTATATTCAGATTAAAGATAGAAATTTGCAGAAGTCAGTTCTTCAATTTGAAATTCATTTGATAAAGCTGAAAATGAATATTTCACCTGTAAATTTTAAAAGTTGACAAGGTAAAAATAATGAATATTTCATCTGTAATTCTTAAAAGAGAACAAGGTAAAAAGAAAGATTAACCAAAAAAAAAAAAAAAAAAAATTAGCATTGTTCACTGCAAAAAGATATCAGGCATTAAAGATGGATGAATCTTGTATATTTATAGAAGAAAAAAGGTTTTGGAATATTTATTTTTATGTATTTACTTACTTGTTAGATAAACATCGCCATCAAATTGGCGGCACAAATTCTTAACAATTTCAAATCCAATTCCCACATTTGATCCTGTGACCTATGAAAAAAAAAAAAAAAAAATTAAAATCTGAGTTTTTTAATGTTATATTAGAATTACTACCCCAAAATTTGTTTTAATTTTTTTTTTATAATATAGCATACAGTATATATAGACTGTATTGAAGTTAATATTTATTTACCCAATTTTTTGTTTTGTCTGTCAAAAGTTAAAAAACACTTATTTCTCTTTTCTCAAAATGAAATGCTATAATTTTTGACATGATTAACATTTTTGTTAGAGGATGTATCATAGAAAAAAAATAAAAGAATTGGAATTAAATGCAAGAAATTCTGTAAGTAACGCTTTCCTTAATTCCTAAACACTGGTAATACCATTAGTCCTGATTTTCACTTCATTTCTATAGTGAAATGCATTTGCATCTTTCTATATAATACACCAAGTGTATTTGTAAAAATTTTTCTAAACATTTTTGTTAAGGGAGATAACTGTAAAATATTACAATTATTTTAGAATTATCTCCCTTTTACTGGTAACGTCAAGTGGTAGTGTCTCTGTTATACCACTGGTGAATTGTTCAAAGATGTTTCTAACATTACAAAAAGGGTAGAATATAACAATAAAATATAAAAACTCACATGTGAAAGCCAGAACATAATATTTCAATTGTATATATATATATATATATATATATATATATATATAAAAAAAATAAAAATGTCGTTTAGATATAATGGGCAAAATAACTTTTTCTGTTAGGAACACTCACATTAATTCCTGACCAGTGGCAATCTTTTTTCTCCTGATTTTCAATGCACAACATAAAAAAACTTTAGTGCTGAAACTTGCTAAGACAAATTTTAGATAAGAACTCACAAATTTCAGTGCTTCATTATCATGATTTTGTGTATTGTTTAATTTAGTATTTCAAAAAGATTTCAGTATACCAAATAGCTGATTCATCTTGTTTGCATTTTGCTTAATGATGTGCACATAGTGTGGTGTTTATGGGAAAGTAGGATTAATGTTTTGAGTTCAAATTTCAACTGAGGCCATACTGTTTACTTTTGCACAAATACCGTTGGAAAGGTATGCATTCATCACTTTCCTAAGCCAGGGGTTAATAGTAGGGTAGACCAGGCTCTCTAGCCTTGTGGGGCAACCAGTCTAGAAGAAGAAAATCTCTTCAGTCAAAGCCAGCTGCCTCATATCTCTTGTTTCCTCTTAGTATGCCTTTACAGTGACCTCATTCAGTAACCCTCTACCATGAGTGGCTTGTGGGCCTTGTATTGGGTGAAAAATAGTATGAAAAAAAAAAAAAGTAAAGAAGGATGAGCTCTGCCCTAGATACATCCACTGCTGCTCCTATGGGTTACATTGTTTGTGACATGATGATTCTGCTTAAATATGGCAGGGGTGTGGGATATAATAATGATTTAGTTATAAAAGTTTTACTAATTAACCCATAGCTGGGGCTGGTTAGAAGAGGTAGATTCATATCTTTCCCAAGGGTATTTGTGCGTGAGTGAACATAATGAACCCAACTGGAATTAGAACTCTGTTCTCAGATTAACAATTCTGAGACATTATACTACCTGCACATCGAAGCTTACCGCACCTGGTATTTCCAAGCAGTTACCCAACAAAGCATTGATTAGGATCGATATTGCTTAACTTTGTGTAATAGAAATGTTAATAAGCTTAGACAAACTCAGCATTGATAAAATTACAGAAATAATAAATATACAACAATAGTGATATGCCAGAAGATCTTGTAGTTCCATTTTCATAGCACTGTCTAAGAAACCAGGTGAAAATGAATTTGAGTTCCATCAGGTAATCAGCTTAATAAGCCACATGGTGAAAGTAATCACCTGAATTCTGATGTAATAGAATTAGACTTGAAATAGAATGGAATACTGCTGCCATATATGGCCTGGTACCCCTGCTGTTCGCCTTAAGGTCCTCGACAATATCCAGAGACGGATATGCAATGTGATTGGTCCTGATCTGGCGTCTCAACTACAGTCACTCTCTCACAGACATGCTGTCGCCCCTCTCTGTCTTTTCTACCAATACTTAGGCGATTTCAAACTTGGCTCTCAGAGTCCTCAATCTGAACAGCTAGCCATTACTCTTCCATGCTTCCTGCTAAAAATATCACTGACTGAAAATATTAGCAATGAGAAAGTTTTAAGGAAAATGGAAACAAAATGGACACTTATACTGAAAATAAGAAAGAGACAATTGAAATTTCTAGGACATATAATGAAGAAAAAGGGCTTGGAGAATTTGACATTCACAGGACATAAGGCAAGAGGGACAGCGGAAAACAGGCTTGGCACAAGCCACTTGTGTAAATGGTTGGCAGAACAAGGATCAGGAAGGATGAACCTTATTAAGAGTTACAAAGGATAGGAAGTTGTGGATAACCATAATAACCCACGTCCCAAAAGGACACGGTGCATAGAAGATGGCCAATATTATAACATTGAATATTTAATTTACAATGTAAATAGATAGCTAAACTGGACCCTGATTTTGTGCCCGCCTTTATGCAAATATGTGACTAATTTTGAAGTATGGAAACCTACAAGGAAGAAAAACTTTGGGGTTGATGTTCTCGTAAATATGGTGAATTGAGTTTCTCGGAGAAAAACATCTAACTTTATCTTTTTAGGCTTCCGTACTTTGACATAATGGACTAAAACGAGAATGAGCCGTTATTTTCGTAAAAAAGTGTCTTGTAAAAATACCCAGACTCAAAAAAAGTAAATAAAAATCTAAAAAAAAACAAAAAAAAAACATAATGTTTCCAAATAAGAATTTAAATTTATTCAAAGCTGCAAAAAAGCACATAAGAATACGCAAGAATTATATTGCTACAAAATAACAAAAATAAAATACAAACTGGGTTTTAACCCAATTCTTTACTATTGTTCAATATTGATGTCAGTACGGTAGTAAAATAAAAAAAAATGAATTTGAATTAAAATTGCGTGAGCCACTTTATGTTTTAAACAAAGTATTTTCCCCTTTTCCAGCATATTTCACATTGTTATTGTTTCGGATGAAAACTCGGAAAATTCAAAATTTGTTTTCAGAATACGTTCTACGAGGCCAAAAATAAGATTATTAAACTTACCAAAAGCTATAAATAAGGAAACACAATATCAAAATCATATATATAAAAAAAAACGACAAGGGAAAACATTTTTCCCAACAACACGTGTTGGGAGTTTTTACACTTTAAAATTTTTAGGTTACTTGGTGAGTTTCCACTTAGGTTAAGAAATAGTTGATATTACTTTTGAAATTAAGACTACAGAGTAAATTGCGTAGACATTTTTAAATTACTAAAAGCAAAAAAAACAAAAAGAAGAAAATAATGTGCAGGTATAATTGACATTATGTAATTTTTTATTCGAACTTACCACAGCGGCACGACACGTTGAAGTCATGCTTGATTCTCGTAACGGGGAAAACAGTGTTACTTCCCTTACATCTATTTACTCGTCTCAAATAGCAGTAGAACGAATTTGAAAAAGAAAGAAGTCCAACATCGAATACACCGTTCATGCTTTACCTGTATGCAAACGCGTAACCCTAAAACTCTTTTTAGAGATTTTTTTATGTTGGAATTTTCTTTAATAAGGAATACACTATGTCCCGAGTTTAAAAAATGAGGGTTTTAGAAGCACAGAACATATACACACACACAAAAAAAACTATTTTGTGTGTGTGTTTTAAGTTAAATGTGAGACCCAGAACATTCGTCTAGAGAATTATGGTCTAATGTGGGTTGTATTAATAAACAAATAATGCATGCCAGTAGATGCTTATAAAACACATGCCATCAGTAATTAATGTTGCTGTAAGTTGTAGTGAACAAAACAAGATCTAGATTTAAAATTCAAATGCTAAGCACTGACTCATTGATTTTGTTAGAAATGAAAAAGACTCGAATTTACAAACTTTGCTTGACACACACACGCAAAAGCGAATCCAAAAACAAAACTCTTGAGATTTCATACCTTGATGCGAAATACCGTGGAAAGGTTTGGTTAAGGTAGTCCCTTACTGCCAAAGCATAATGTCAAGGTCCTCCATCTTGCTGAAAGAACAGTTATGATGTAGTGAACAAAACAAGATCTAGATTTAAAATTCAAATGCTAAGCACTGACTCATTGATTTTGTTAGAAATTAAAAAAGACTCGAATTTACAAACTTTGCTTAACACACACACACAAAAGCGAATCTAAAACAGAACTCGTGAAATTTCACACCTTGATGTGAAATGTTTTTCGGCCAATAGAAAACTAGGAAACATTTAAAAACAAAATTCAAATAATCTTCAATTCTCAGAAACAAAATTCTTTTACGGACTTTTTCGCGAGCCGACGCGAAGTTTGCTCGTCGTCCAATTGAAAGGTTCGAATCATATCCGGGAGTGAATTCCCAAATGACCTTTTCAAGCCCCACAAACAAAAATAAAAGACGGGCAAGTTCGCCTGTCACCAGAGAGAAGGAGACGAGCGTATTAACACGTCCCTTGACAAACGTCAAGTGATCGTTATTATTATCTCTACCTTTCTCCCTTACCTCTTTTATACTTGATAAACGAACGGAACATTTTAAAATTTTAAGTCTTCGAAGACATTCCTACCCTTCGATAACGCTCATACATACATACATACATACATGCACACAAACTCATTCTTGCAAGGATTACTACGAACATTTTGACGACCTTGTATCAACCAAAATATATTAATTTTATTTGTAAAGACCTTAATTGATTTATATGTATATAAATTTGTTGTTTCACTTTACAATTTGATTTTCTTGTTTTATATCCCTCTTATGGTGGGCTATCTAACTAAGAAGGCCAAAACAAACTAATCTGTTTCCACACTCATACATTTCACTATAACCTATAATCCACTATGAAGTGTCTTAAAGATTATTCTGTAATATAGTAAATAAAATTCCGTATTTTGTACATGAATAAAGTGTTCATTTATTAAAAAATATTATTAGAGTATAGGCCAATTACGCCTTGACAGGTATTCTAGGAACAAATGTTCTTAGATGAATATTCCTTTAGCTTTCTCTTAAACCAATATTCTATGGAAGAATGTTCCGTAGACCAATATTCTTTAGACAAATATTCCTAAATCCGTTAAATGTGTATACTATACTTTAATATATGAATTTTTTTATTGCATAAACACGTTGGTCGCTCGTGGTAGAGCAATAGTTTAACAAGTTAACCAAACATACGAGTGTGCTGTTTATGTGAGTACATCAAACTACAATTCCAGCATGTTTGTTGTCATTAAACTCCACTGTAAAATCACCACTTTAGGCAATACTTATGTAGTTTCAGACGCAAGCAGATTTTTCCCTGGGTGTATTTATTAGCCCAGTCGGTTTTGAATTCAGAATTTTCTTTCTCCTAGACTGGTTGACAACCAAAGCTAGAGAGTCTGTCCTGTTGTCGGAGTTAGCTCCTCCTTAATTCCCAAATTGCCACTAGGGGTCATTCTCCCTATACTATAAATACTGGGCGACTTCTCGCTTCGTTGTCTTTTTCATTTCTTCATTTCAGCGACTACAATGTAAGCTCTCTTAGAAGATCCGCGTCTTCCCATTTGTGGGAGACGCCATGAACATTATACGCACATACACGTACGTACGAACATTCACCAAAGAACAAACACACATATTCACACACACACATACAAATGTTATTGTCTATTGTCCATTGTAAAATTGTTTTGTTTAATACACACACACACACACACACACACACACACATATATATATATATATATATATATATATATATATATATATATATATATATATATATATATATATATCGTTCTTTTGTTTGTCTTCTTTATTCATTTGGACTTGATTCAAGTCCGCCATTTTCTTTGTAGTTGGACCTTTTAATATTCAGGAGTTACACGTGTTTCTAATACAAACTCATTAACCCACTTGGTCCACAACACTTTTTTTAACTCCTTGTTTGGCGAAAGAGAAGAGAGAGATTCATACCTTTATCAAGGATATTTGTGCAAAAAGCGAACGGAGCGACCTCGGCTAAAATCTGAAATCGACAGCCATACATTGTTTTTTTTTTTACAATTTATGTTTAGTCCTTTCTTTTCGCTTTCTTTTACTATACATTATTTACATTATTCGGACTATTGTCCTCATCTTTGTCGCCATATTTATTACAACGTTTCGGCCGTTGTACGCTCCAGCCTTCTTCAGGTGGTTGGAATGTCGAACTGAGCCCTTTATTTCGCTCACTGAGGTAGACTGTTCTAGTTCCACGTGCCATGTTTTAATGGATATCAGTTATCTCTTGTTAATTTCCCTTTGAAAATTCTCCACTACCTTAGCCGGGTATTGAACTCACACTCTTTGGGTTCTGTCAGTGGATCTAACCAACACCTTTATCCACTGTGTCATGTGTCCTCAAATGAAAATTTGCTCGCGCCTCCCAAAATTTCATATGATAAAAATACATTTAAAAAAAAATCCCAAAATCCCCAAAAAACAAACAAAAAAATAAAAATAAAAAAAACAGAGAGAGGCTTAAAGGGAGATAACCGCGAATTCAAAGTCAGAACATTATCATTGATAACACTCTCCTCCAATTTGCTGAGCCCAGCCACTATAGCCTTTATATTTGATATGCAAAAATATAGCAATGATAAAATCGGTTAAGATTTATTTGTAACTATTTATACTGGGACTCATGTAGTCAATTACAAGTAATCCATAATAATATTTTAAATTTTGAAATCCTATTTATTTTTGGCATATGAATTTTTGAAACTGTTACCAAATCTTTAACTGTCTTTCTGCTATCCTCTTCCGTTGCACCTATGAGGCGCGCCATACCGTTTGGGAAGCACTACGCTATATCAATTACGACTGAGCAATGTTTTCTATCCTCACTGGGTGCCTCATATTTTCTGCCATGTGCTACATCTAAGCTACGCTTAGTAAATAGTAATATTATTTTGTAGATGGGTTTGATTCAATATCTTTTTAATTTTTTTTGTTGTAAAAGAAAAAGTGTGTATGCCACAATAAAAAAAAAAAACGAGCGTGTAAATTTTATTTGTGTCCAACGACTCTCAAACATCTGAAGTTTATCTAGTAAATGTAACCATTCCTGTTACATAAATATATTGCAATTGCAAAATTATTTGAATACTACCAGGCGGTATTTAAGCTAGCCCATGCGAAGGGCTCTTGATTGGGTCTTCATCATAATAGGTAGGGAGAAGTAGATGCAATAGACGGCAATAAACTACAGAAGAACTCAGAACTGATTGCTGTAATTAAGTATTGCATTAAGCTTACCTTTTAAATGTTCAACGATAATTCTTTTGCCGCCACTTAATTTAAAGACAATTTGATGTACGTAGGCTCTTACTTTCTGTACAAACAATTATTTTTATTTCATGGGTGACTTTCGCAATTTATTTCGATTATTCCTAAATTTATTTCCAAGTTATAAAAATTGTTATAGTATAAAAAAATTCGTCGCAGAAAATCACGTAAAAGAAATCGCCTAAAACAATCGCAATAATGAAAATTTGGGAATGTTTTTAATTTGCTCACGGAATCGGCCTGATTCCAAAATAGTATGATATGTTGGACTGCAGCCTCTAGGAGTGAAGTTGAAAACACGGACTATTTTATTTTGAAACACTGTAATTTGAAAACAGTATTTTTTCCATTTGAACATGAGCTATTGAAAGAGAGTTGTGTCCCTTTTATTATTTTTATCAGTAGAAACAAAGGTGGCTGAATTCAAAAACAATCGAAGTAATGAAAATTTTGGAATCCAAAATTTTAGGATTGCGGGACGGCTCCGTCTCAGAATGTTTTTAATTTGTTCACGGAATCGGCCTGATTCCAAAATGGTATGATATGTTGGGCTACGGCCTCTAGGAGTAAAGTTGAAAAAGTGTGACACGGTGACACACTGCCATTCGCATTTATTATATAGATTACTATCTAGGTCTGGGTATGACGATAAACTACATCTGGCAGCAAAGCTTTTATTAGATTTCGGCATTAAATAAATCCAATAGAGGTTGATATGCCGCTAAATAAAATCAACCAACCGATATTATTGTCATTATCTGCCTGTGTAGTATTTTTGATATTTTAAAATATATTTTTGATGAGTTAACACCCCCCTGCGTCACCTATATTAATATAGTATGTGAATTTTACGCTTGAAACTACTGACGCTAATGTTTTTGTCCTTGGACCACATCTGAGCTACGCTTGGAAAATCACTACTGACGCTAACATATTCTGTTTTGGGGGCGGATTATTTCACATTAGATTCAGATATTTATAATTTAATTGCATTTGTACACCAGGAGTAATGGATAGCGGCTCGGATTGAGGAATCGGAGAG